TCACCAATGACTGCCACTTGGCCAAGTCCTTCTCTTCTTTGGCCTCTTGATGTTGTTGCTTCTTCCCGTCCTCTGGAAAGTTTCTTTACTTGGCTTCTAGGTCTCTACAAACTTTGAGATGTCCTCCTACGCACCAGCCCTCCCTCTCTCTCCAACCTCTTAATGTTGGGGTGCCCCAGGGCTCAGTGCTTGGATAGTTTCTATTCTATGTACTTAATCCCTTAGTGATCTCAGCCAGTCCCACGAGTTTACACGTGTTTCAAATTTGTCATCTTCTCGCCATTGCCACTGATGTCTCCTTAATTTAGGCCTCACCATCTCCCTTGGGACCATTATGGCAGTCTCTTAATTAGCCTCTGTTGCCTAGACCCTTCCAAACCATCGTCCCCACTGCAGCCAGACAGAGCTTTCTGAGAAGCAGATCTGATGCCGCCACTCTCCTGTGTGAATCCCTCAGAGCCTTCCATGGCACGTGGAGTCGTGGGCAAAGTCCTCAACGTGGCCTTCAAGGCCCTCGCCGATCTGGCCCTAGTCCACCTTTGCAGCCTCACCTTGTATCCCTTCTTTTGCCACATCCTCTGAGCCACAGCTGCGCCTAGCTACTAACGACACCACCGGTGCTCCCACTGCTTCAGATATGATATGTCTCTGGCCAACCAAGAAGTAGGCGCCTTCCTGTCCTTCAAGGTTTATCTCAGATGAGACCTCCTTGACTGACTTGTGTGACTTTCCCTCCTTGTTCCTTCCTCCACCCCATCTGAGGATGGCCACTTGCTCCTTTGTGGCCCCATCATACCCCTTGGAACACTTTACTGCCCTTGTTATTTACAGGTCGTTCTCCCACAACTAGACCATAAGTGAATTATTCATCAAGTACAAGTGCTGTATCTCATTTGTTTTGGTGCCTAGCCACAGGCCTGGCATCTATTGGACACCACGAAAATGGCCAAAATCCCGAAAGCCAGGCAAGATGCATTACATACACCATGGGAGTTCAGTAAATGTCTATTGAAAGAATGAATCCTAAATGTGAGCTGTCAGTGTAAAACTGTTCTCCAGGTGCCTTAAGTACCGAAGAGCAGGCTCTACAAATTATTTTGTGAAGGGGAAGTACAGAATTAAGGCAATGCATGTAGCTGCTATGGGAAACAGTATAGTAGTTCTTTAAAAAATTAAAAATAGTTACCATATGATCCAGCAATTATGCTTTTCGGTGTCTACCCAAAAGAAGTGAAAGCAGAGACTCGAACACATATTCGCACAGCCATGTTCATAGCAGTATTATTCACAATAGCCCAAACATGGAAGCAACTCAAGTGTCCAACAGATAAATGGATAAACAAATATGGTCTATATATACAGTGCAATATTATTCAGCCTTAAGGAAGGAAATTCCGACACACAATACAACATGGATGAACCTTGAGGACATTATGCTAAATGAAATAAGCCACTGACAAAGGGACAGATAGTGTGAGATTCTAATTATAATGAGGTCCTTAGAGCAGACAAATTCATAGAGACAAAGTAGAAAGGTGAGTGCTGGGGGAGGGGGAACAGGGAGCCGTTGTTCCATGGAGACAGGGTTTCAGTTTGAGAAGATGAAAAAGCTCTGGAGGTGGATGTGGTGATGGCTGCACAGTAATGTGAATGCGCTTAATGCCGCCGAGGTGTACACTTAAAACGGTTAAGATGGTCAAATTTATATATGTGTTATATATATATATATCTGTGTGTGTGTGCGTGTGTGTGTGTGTGTGTGTGTGTGTGTGTGTATTATATATAGATAATATGTATGATATATAACCACAATTAAATTTTTAAAAAGAAGGCAATACAATCAATGTTACTCAGAGGTGTTGACATTGACTTGGTCATTTCCTTATTTTAAGTGTTTCCTGCTGGCAGTTTCACAGACCCGGTATTCCTCACTCTCTCTGTGTGGTGATTGCATTGTATCTTCACAAATGTGTTTTCTTTCTCCTTTTTCTTAGTTTATTTGAATCATCAGATTATTTGAAGCTTCTCTTAGAATGCTCACTCTTGAGCTATTTAATTTTAACTTGACATTTTCAATGCTTTCATCCTGTTTGTGTTTGAGATTATCTTTCAATATGAATCTATTGATATCTTCTATAATATCAAAACTTATGAAATACAGTACTACACACATGTCAATTATATCTCAAAACTTGAAAAAAGAAATACAATATTGGACTGTCTTGAGCAAAAACGCTACCCATTACCATCACAAGAGTGAGATTTTGGGGTTCTCAGAGTCACATGGGATTGCTTAAAAGTATATATAGTCAATCATTATTTTGATTCTCAGACTTCCTGACATTTCTGAACAATGGGAAAAACTATTTTTACACTTGTGGAGAAAATGGCAGTCATGCAGTGCTTTATGAGCTACTAATTGGTAGTCCCACGGTGACACTGTACACTTGGTGTGGTGGCCAGGGTTAACCCTGTTATTTATAGGACTAAAAAGTTTGCCAGCCATTTGCTTATCACTGTTGATCCCAGCTATATGAAAGAAAAACCATAAAACAGTCAACATGTAAAAATATAATACACTGAAATTTTGTTCCCTAAGAGTGATGGAAGTCATTTCAATTCAGTGAACATTTTTGAGTGTCTGTTATGTGCCAGGAAGTCAGGCCTTGGGACATACAAGTGAGACATGATTCTTGTCACCAGGCATTTTAAATGACTTTTGAGAGGACTGCGATGCACATTAAAACATTTAATTTCTTTCTTTTCAGCGAGTAGGCCATGGCAATGACAACCATGCGGATGCTGACCGGTCCCCAATATTCCTTCAGTTTATTGATTGTGTTTGGCAAATGACAAGGCAGGTGAGAGATTTCAAGTATATTTCTGACTGATATAGTCTGATTCAAATGTATCTTAAAGTTGAAGGTTAGATAAACTTTCATTTCGTGTTCATTCAAAATGAAGATGTGTGTAAAATATGAGCCCCTCTGTTATTTAATTCATTTTGAATCTATTTAGAAATATAAGAAAATTAGAAACAACCAACTTCGCACCAAAAGTTACTTTTCTTGTGAAAATGGCTTTTGTCAGTCATCCTATCCCCCAGCCTTGCAGACCGAGGCCCAGCTCCTCAGTCATTTTGCCTCTCTTGCTCCCTTTCTGTCGGTGCAAGAACAGTCTCATGCTGTCCTAGAAATATAAGATCCTGCCAGGTGTTAGACATGGGGATGAGACTGGAGGCCAACAAGGGGGATTTGACCAGGAAATCCAGGAATCTCCATTCCCCCCACCAACCCGAGGCCACAGCCCCTCCAACCCCAAGATCACTGAGGGAAATGACTGTCCAAGAACCCATGGCAGATAGGAAGCTGCAGAGTATCTTGTCATCACCTGGTGCTTAGTTCGCAAAGCCCAAGGCATGGGGTCCTGGTAAGTGAGGCTGTGTGCGGACTCCCCTCCCGTCAGCTAGGCAGGCCCAGAGGGCTTTGGTTCAGAGCAGGCAACAGGCAGGTGCTGTTTTTCCCCTCATCTCCAACATCCAAGCCCGAGTCTGGAGACTTACTCTCATGATGGGAGATCGTGTCAGAGAAACGGACCCGGAATCAGAGAGAGAGATGGAGCCAGACGCAGAAAGGCAGAGACACAGGGAGAGAGGGCGGGTAATGGGGCTGTGTGGAGAGAGAGAGACAGAGAAGTTTCCCAAGTGCCTGCTGCCCAGCCCGGTTGAGGGTGGGGTTGTGGGGGAAGGAGAACGAGAAGATAGGAACCATGTCTAGGCGCTCTCCTTCCTGTTGGTCTGGAGCTCTGGTCATGGTGGCCTCAGTCATGTGACGGGGACCAGCCGGAAAGACCTGCTGGTGACTAGCGTGACTCCACGAACAGCCATGGCACTCATGAGCACTCTTCCTGGCTGCCTTTTCAAAGGATGTCTACCTCCCCCACCCAGAAAGCCTGTGAAATACCAGTCCCATTTTCCTCACTGTCAGCCTGTGTTACCGATGGGAGTGTGTGGTGAGAAGAAAAAGGCTGAGAACCACCATGCTGCCTGTGTCTCCTCTCCATCTCAACTGAGGCTTCTCCTTGAGGGTCACTGGAGGACCAGCAGTCACAGCTCTCTGCCTGGCATGCACACTGTCAGCACCTGGAAACTTAAAAGTTCACATGCTTGGGCCTGTTTCTGGGGACCCTTCTTCTTACAGGCCTGGGTATGTAGTTCCTTAAAGCTCCCCAGGTGGTTCTGATGTGCATGTGAATTAGAGGATCAGTAATCTAGATCAGTGGTCCCCAAGCTTTTTGGCACCAGGGACCGGTGCTCCTATGAGAATCTAATGCCTGATGATCTGAGGCGGAGCTGAGGTGATGATGCTAGCGCTGGGGAGCGGCTGCAAATACAGATGAAGCTTTGGCCGCTCTCCTCCTGCTGTGCGGCCTAGTTCCTAACAGGCCACAGATAGTACCAGTCCACGGACTGGGGGTTGGGGACCCCTGGTCTAGATCATGGCCCCAAGTGCAGACCAGGTTCCAGTAGGCTCAGCTTCCCCTGGGAATTGTTAGAGATGCAAATTGTCAGGCTCTAACGCTGGACCTGCTGACATGAGGATCTTATGAAAATGCAGATTCTGATCCATAAGTCTGGAGCCAAGACCGAGCCAGAGAGCCTGCATTTCTAACAAGCTCCCAGGTCATGCTGCTGGTCCACAGATTACATTTGCAGTACCAAGGGACTCAAGAGCACAGATGTATCTTCAGCAATAAGGACAAAAGTTGGGGGTGGTTCTAAGTAGCCGAAGTGACTTCCCAGAGTCCTCGGGCCTCCCTTATAGCCCACTCTTACTTTTTAGATTAGCTGCCAAGCTGATTGGGCTCAACCATCATGAGTATCAGGTCACAGCTGACTGAAAGCAGCTGGTCTTAGAGGTAGGCACCTTTGTATAAGTGACAGGTAACAGGGAACACTTACCTAAAAGACATGGAGGCTGGCTAGAAGCCTCACTGTTTTGTGTGCCATGCATTTCTTGCCGTTCATATCGACACTGAGCCAGTAACAAAATTCAATGACAGTTACATTCAAATTAAATGATGGCTACATTCAGGTTAAGACAAAGTATAAATCCATCTTAGAAAAGCTTCATAAAAACGTTGAACACAAAAATAATTCTGATGCTTCTGAAGGGATAAGCAGTGTTTTCGTGGACGTGAAGTAGCTTATTCCTCCAAAACATGGGTGCGTTTTTAACACCTTCAAGCTGGCTACCACTTTTCATGTTGATTAGTGCATATTTTCATGTCTAATTATATAATTTTGTAGTATTTATTGGTTTTTTAAGAAAGAAAATAAGGGGTTTGGATTAGAATTCAGATGCCTCTCACAGCCCTAAGATTCTGTCCATGTACTGGACACAATTATTTAAAAATAATGTCAATGCATTAGAAGCAGAAACATGAATGATCAGTCTTTAACTCTCAATTATCAATTAAGTCACAAGTGAATGAGACATAGCTTGTTAGAAGAGATGTGTTAATTAACAAGATTTAACTTATTTTTAGGTTGCCTACTGCTAAATTAAGTAAGCTAAGTCAGTGTGAAGTTGTCAGAAATCTCAGAATAAAATGAACTAGTCTCTGCACAAATTGATATAAAAGGAACAAAGGGAAAAAGTAATTGAGAGATCCTTTAGAAAAGAGTCTCAAAGATATTCTATAGCAGCCATACTTTAATAGACTCTTTACCCTTTGGGATAAGTTTAATAAGTTGATATTTTTTGTCCCTCGAGGTACAGAGTTTCTTTATGGATTTCTGTGGAGTGTTTGAAACTATTTAGGTAAATGGTACAATTTCCAGGTAAAGAGACCCAAACAAACTATAAATTACAGAGACTTAATCTTTCGTTTGTATTGCTCTACCTGTTGTCGCTTGCCCTAACGAAATGTTTTCTGAGTTGAATTTAATGCCACAGTGCCCTTTGAATGCGAATAACATTCCTGACCCAACGGTGAGTAGATGGAGCCCTTGTGTCCCAGGGTCACAGGTGCTGATGGCCTTGAGCTGAACCCCGCCTCCCCTCACCTCCCATATCTGGTGCCCACTAGGCCAGAATTAAGGCACATGGTCAGTGGTGCTAGAATGCCAGCTGAGCTCCCAGATACAGAGCTCAGGCCAGGGTCTAGAATGAAGACTCACACGACTTCAAAAATACATCAATAAAAGCTTTGCTGTCCTGTTAGTAAACATATATTTTTAAGTATTTGAAAAGAATTTGTAGATTTTTCCATTCCTATCCTTAATAAAGCTTCCATATACACAAATGTTATATGCTCGCTTAAAATTAATAAATTTAATGCTGCCAGTAATTTATGGACAGGGCATAACTAAGCTGCATAGAAAAATACTAGGAAAGTGGATATAATTATTCAGGCTTTTAAAGATAGCCATTTGGAATGTGAGGCCATTGTCAAGAGTTATAACGGACAATCTTAAAGGCTCTGAGAGAGAAGTAACCAGTCCCTATCTTTAGCATTTCAGCCAGATTTAGTTAATCTAATCTAGTTTCCAGAGGTTTCTGAAGAGGCATTCTGATAGGCCTCTTCGGAACAGACTTGTGCGTTTCTACGAGAGCAATCCTTAAGATGGAGAGAGAAGCAGATCTTAGTCCAGGGTAGCTGAGCAGAATTCCTCCAGTTGGATAATCTAATAGCCTGGTGAAGAAAATAATTTCATTTGGAGTTTGGACAGTCCTGGGGTGGCCTTTGTTTTTCCCTTTTTTTGTTGAGAGTCAAAATGAAAGTTTATTAGAAAAGGGATAACACTCCACAGACAGAGTGTGTTCTCCTCTCAGAGGCAGAAAGTGAGAAGGACAGTGCAAGAGACACAGAGACAGAGTAAAGGCACTGAGAGGGACTGAGAGGGACAGAGACAATAGAGACGAGGACAGTGAGAGAGACAGAGAAAAAGGCACTGAGAGGGACCGGCTTTCGTTTCTAATTGAGAAGCTTGTCCGTGGATTAGCAAAATAATTTAAGCTAAAAAAAATTTGCCTGGCAGTGACCCTAGTTGTCACTGTAGACATGACAAGATTAGTCACGATAGTGTGCAAACATCACTGATTAGGGAATAGGTCTTTAAAGTAAACTGACAAGTAAAAATATGCCGGGCAGTTCTATTTAGTTGTGTTCTAATTAGCTTTGTTTCAGTCAGTAGATGATAAATATTTTCCTATGTTTTAAAGTAGAATTCTGGCACAGGGTAGGACCCCATGCCTGCTGCTAGGATCATTATTATAATTTCCAGATTGTCTGCTCATGGCTACCAAGTGCCAGCTACTGGCTAGATTCTCCTGGCAATGGAAAAGTCTTTGCTGGAATTCTCCAAGACCCCATTAAGGATCGCCCAAAACAACAGTTGAGATAATGATGTGATTTTCTTCCTTATTCCGTTCATATGGTGAATGACAGTAATTGAATTTTTTTGTAACATTATTGATTTTCAAATGTTGAACCAGCCTTTCCTCCCAAGATTAAACCCACATGGTTGTATTGCGGGACCCTTATTATGTAGTGCCAGGTTCAATTTGCCTATATATTGGTAAAGATTTAGGGGTGTATGTTCACGGAGTTGTCTCTGTGGGGAGGTTTATGAGTTGTTTCTTTAATGGATATAGATTTTCTATTTTGCTTAAGTCGCTGTTGGTATATGCTGTGCCTATGGTCCACCCCGCTTCTCTGTGGCTCGGAACGTGCCTCCAGGCAGAAAGTTGAGACAATAGTAGGGCTCACCTCCTTGTTTCTTTTCTCTTGGGTGTCACAGTCCCATGTTGCCTGTCGCCAGTTTCTGAAAACACCTGTCTCATGTATTCTGTCCAGCTTTCCAGTTGTTCCTGGCAGAAGGGTGAATGTGGGCTTTGTTCTGCCATTATGACCAGAAATGGAGCTCCATAAGCTTTTTCAGGCATCAAAGAGAATGGCAGTTTTTGTTGCTTTAAGTTCAGCAAGATCTATAAGCTTGGACTCGAAACTATAGATAAATGGGCTCCGTCTCCCTTTTAATTTTCGACTATAATCCCAGTTGCAGTTTAGCTGTCCTTCACAAAATATTGAAAACACTGTTTTCTTTTTCTTTTTATTAGATTTATTGGGGCGACATTGGTTAATAAAATTATGTAGGTTTCAAGTGTACAATAATACGTCATATGTATATTGTATTGTGTTCACCACCCAAAGTTAAATTTCTGCCCATCACCGTAAATCAGAAATTGAACTTTAACCTTATTTCTCTCTCCATTTAAGTTTCCTTCAGCGTTCGAGTTTAATGAACTATTCTTGATTACAATCTTGGATCACCTTTATAGCTGTCTCTTTGGGACATTTTTGTGCAACTGTGAACAGCAGCGATTCAAAGAGGTAAGTACGTTATATCCTATCCATTGCTTTCCTGATTGCTCGGGTGCCTTTCCCTAAGTGCCATTGTAGAACGAGGGCTGAATGGAGAGGAGATTTGGGTCTAGCCCTGCTGCCGTCTGTAGATGGAGAGGTTGTGCTGGATGCATGCCTGGGATCAGCACCCCAGTGCAGCTGTCTGATCTTCCTCGTTGTCTGATACAAGCCCCTCACTTTGTGGGAGTCAGGGGGTTGGGACAGCGAGCCCATGGCTCTCTGAGGTCTGTAGGGTCAGTCCTAGATCCTGGACCCCCTAACTCCAGGCTCGTGTACTTTCCACCGCACCAACTCCAATACGAGAAGACTTGCTTGTCATTCTCTGTGCTATTGGGCAGAGGGCACTTGGAGATCTGGGAAAATGGTGTCTGTAAATGAGCCACAAACCTCCCTCTGGATAGCGAGCTAAACTTTCTTCTCCATCAAGCTGGTAGAGCAGTGGCTACTGAGCTGCAGAGTCACATCTCAGCTCTTCTTCCTTTGGGATAAAAGAAATCATCGAAAGTGAGGAACTGTTGGGGAAAGGCAGATTAAAGAGCATCCTCTGGGTAACAGAAGAACACTATGGCCTGTGGGAGAAGTGTATTAGAACATTATAGAACACAGGAAGAGACAGTAGGTCACCAGCACCTCCTCCCTCTCTCTCAGCCTCCCCACAGCTGAGTGCCCCTCATTCTGCGCCACTCCCCTCTGGCTCTCCCCCACCTCACTGGCCTCCCCTGCTCAGTCTCTTCCCTTTTTTATTAAAATTAGTGGGGTGACATTGGTTAATGAAGTCATAAAGGTTTCAAGTATACAATTCAATAATATGCCATATGTGTATTACATTGTGTGTTCACCACCCAAAGTTAAATTTCCTTCCATCGCCATATATTTAACCTCCTTTACTCTTACCTACCTCCCCTCCTCCCCACTTTCCCTCTGGTAAACCACTAAACTGTTGTCTGTGTCTATGAGTTTTTGTTTTTCTTGTTCATTTGTTGCTGTTTTATATCCCACATGAGTGAAATCATACGGTTCTCAACTATTTCTGACTTATTTCACTTAGCGTGACAATCTCAAGATCCATCCATGTTGTCACAAATAACAGTATTTCATCTTTTCTTACTGCCAAGTAATATTCCGTTGTATATATGTACCACAGCTTCTTTCTCCAATCTTTTATTGTAGGACACTTCGGTCGCTTCCATGTCCTGCCCATTGTGAATAATGCTGCTATGAACATCGGAGTGCACATGTGTTTGCGGATAAATGTTTTCAAGTTTTGTGGGTAGATACCTAGAACAGGGATTATTGGGTCATATGGTAATTCTATTCTTAATTTTTTGAGGAAACTCCATCCTGTATTCCAGTTTACATTTCCACCAGCAGTTTGAGGGTTCCCTTTTCCCCACAACCTCTCCAACATTTGTTATTACTTGTTCTGTCGATGATGGCCATTCTGACAGGTGTGAGGTGGTATCTCATTGTGGTTTTGATTTGCATTTCCCTAATAGCTGGTGAAGTTGAGCATTTTTCATGTCTGTTGGCCATTTGTATGTCTTCTTGGGAGAAGTGTCTGTTCAGGTCCTCTGACCATTTTTTAATTAGTTGGATTTTTTTTTTTGAGTTGTAGGACTTCTTCGTATATTGGATCTTAGCCCTTATCAGAAGTGTCGTTTGCGAATATCTTCTCCCATTCAGATGGTTGTCTCTTTGTTTTGTTGATGGTTTCTTTTGCTGTGCAGAAGCTTTTTAGTTTGATGTAGTCCCATTCATTTATTTTAGCTCTTCCTCACCTTTGAGGTCAACTTTATGACCTCTCTAAATCCAAGGTCCATGAGTTCAGTATCGATGTTTTCTTCTATGCAATTTATCATTTCAGGTCTTATATTTAGGTCTTTGATCCATTTTGAGTTAATTCGGGCGTATGGTGATTGATAGCAGTCTAGTTTCATTATTTGCATGTGGCTTTCCAATTTTCCCAGCACCATTTATTAAAGAAGCTTTCCTTTCTCTGTTGTATGTTTTTGGCTCCTTTGTCGAAAATTATTTGCACATATATACAGGGGTTTATTTCTGGAATCTCAGTTCTGTTCCATTGGTCTGTCTCTTTTTCTGCCAATACCATGCTGTTTTGATTATTGTCGCTTTGTAGTATGATTTGAAGTCAGGCAGAATGACGCCTCCAGCTTTGTTCTTTTTTCTCAGGATTGCTTTGGCTATTTGGGGTCTTTTGTGCCTCCATACAAATCTGATTTTTGTTCTATTTCTTTAAAAAAAATGATGCCATTGTTGAATTTGATGGAGACTGCATTAAATCTGTGTGTTGCTTTGGATAATACAGCAATTTTAACTACATTGCTTCTTCCAATTCATGAACATGGAATATCTTTCCATTGCCTTGTGTCTTCTTCAATTTCTTTTAGTTTTCAGTGTATAGGTCCTTCATATGCTTCATTAGGTTTATTTTTAGGTATTTTCTGTTGCAATTTTTATCCAGTTCTTTTTCTGAAAATTGTTAGTATAGGAATGCTGTGGATTTTTGTACATTATTTTGTATCCTGAAGCTTTGTTTATTGTTTCTAATAGTCTTTTAGTGGAGTCTTTAGGGTTTTCTCTATAATCATGTCATTTGCAAAAAGTGACAGTTTGACTTCTTCATTCCCAATTTGGATGCCTTTCATTTCTTTCTCTTGCCTGATTGCACTTGCTAGGACTTCCAACACTATATTGGATCATAATGGTAATAGCGGACAGCCTTGTCTTGTTCCTGATCTTGGAGGAAAGGTTTTTAGTTTTTCAGCATTAAGTATGTTAGCTAAGGATTTGTCATATATGGCCTTCGTTATGTTGAGGTACTTTCCTTTTATACCCATTATCTTAAGTGTTTCAGTCATAAATGATGCCGTATCTTGTCAAATGTTCTTTCTGCATCTATTGATAAGATCATATGATTTTTATCATTTCGTTTATGTGGTGTATCATGTTAATCGATTTACGTATGTTAAAGCATCACTGTGCTCCTGGAATGAACCCCACGTAGTCACGATGTATAATCTTTTTAATGTATTGTTATATTTGATTTATTGTATTTTGTTTAGGACTTTTGCATCTGTATTCATCAGAGATATTGGTCTACAGTTTTCTTTGTGTTATTCTTACCAGGTTTTGGTATCAGGGTAAGGTTGGCCTCATAAAATGAGTTAGGAAGTATTACCTCTTCAATTTTTTGGAAAGTTTGAGAAGAATATGTATGAAATCTTTTTTGAATGTTTGGTAGAATTCACTGGTGAAGCCATCTGGTCCTGGACTTTTACTCTTTGGGAGGTTTTTGATGGTTTTTCAATTTCCATACTGTCGATTAGTCTATTTAGATCTTCTAGTTCTTCATGATTCAGTCAAGGAAGGTTGTATCTTTCTAAGAACTTGTCCATTTCTTCTAGGTTATTAAATTTGGTATTGTATAATTTTTCATAGTATTCTTGTATGATCCTTTGTGTTTCAGTAGTATCTTTCATTTCTTTTTGTTCATTTGTATCCTTTCTCTTTTTTCCTTAGTTTAGCCAGGAGTTTGTCAATTTTATTAATCTCAACCAGCTCTTTGTTGCATTACTTTTTCCTATTTTTGTTTTCAATTTCATTATATTCTCTAATTTTTATTATTTCATTCCTTCTGACTTTGGGCTTCATTTGTTCTTTTTTTAGTTTTTTAAAGATGTTAGGTTGTTTTGGGGGGATTATTTTATTTCTCGATAGGTCTGTAATGATATGAACTCTCTCTCCTCTTATTACCACTTTTGCTGTGTCTCAAAAGCTTTGATTTGTTGTAATTTTATTCTCATTTGTTTCTATGTATCTCTTGATCTCTCCTTTTCTTCGATGACCCAGTCGTTCCTTAGTAGCATGTTGTTTAATCTCCATGTATTTGTGGTTCTTCCCACTTTCTTTTTACAATCGATCTCCAGTTTCAAAGTATTATGGTTAGAAAACATGCTTGGTATCATTTCAATCTTCTTAAATTTGTTGAGGCTGCTTTTGTGTCCCAGCATATGGTCTATCCTTGAGAATGTTCCATGTGTAGTAGAGAAGAATGTATAAGCTGCTGTTTTGGGATGAAGAGCTCTGTAAATATTGATAAGGTCCAGTTGGTCTAATGTGTCATTTAAGGATATTTCCATATCGATTTTCTGTTTGGATGATCTGTCCATAGCTGACAGTGGGATATTTAGGTCCCCCCTTGTAATTGTGTTTTTGTCAGTTTCTCCTTTTATTTTGTTGCTCCCTGATCGGGTGCATATATGTTGACAAGTGTTATGTCTTCTTGGCGTACTGTCCCCTTTATCATGAAATGTCCATCTTTGTCTCATTACTTTTTGTATCTTGAAGGCTGTTTCTTTAGATATAAGTATGGCTACACCGGCTTTTCTCTGGATGCCATTTGCTTGGAGTATTGTTTTCCATCCTTTCACATTGAGTCTGTATTTGTTTTTGCAGCTGAGATGTGTCTCTTGAAGGCAGCACATGGTCAGGCTTTGTTTTTTCATCTATCCTGCTACTCCGTGCCTTTTAATTAGTTCAGCCTATTTACATTAGGGTGATTATTGATATATGTGGACTTCCTGTAGCCAATTTATCTTTTGTTTTCTGGTAGATTACTGTCTGCATTGTTTTTTTCTTTTTCTTTTCTTTTTGTCCTTATGGTTCTGTAATTTTGGTGTTTTATGGTTTTCCCCTCTCTTGGTTTATATGTCTCAGTTCTGGATTTTTGTGTGTGTAGTCACCATTAAGTTTATGTAAAGGAAAGTTTCATATATACAGTAGTCCTTTTTCTCCATTCCCCTTTGCAGATTCAGATCTTTATTCCTTCCCCTTTTGTTTTTGTCATTTCAAATTACCCCTATTTATGCTGTATGTTCATTTCTAGATTGCAGTAGTTGTCGTCTTAGTTTTTTTTTTTGACCTTTAACCATTACGTAGTATTTAAGCTTATAATATCCTGTTCTTAATAAGAGTTGCACTTTCCTGTTTCTGTATGCCTGTTAGTCATCTTACCCATAGTTATGTATTTTTTTTTTGTCCTTTTGTTTCAGGTAAAATTACCCCTTCAGTATTTCCTGTAATTTAGGCCTTTTGGTGGAAAATCCTCTCAGCTTTTATATGTCTGAAAAGGTCTTTATTTCTCCTTCATATCTAAAGGAGAACTTTGTTGGATATGTTATTCTTGGCTGGTAATTTCTCTCTTTCAATACTATGACTATGTGGTTCCACTACCTCCTAGTTTGTGAAGTTTGTGCTGAAAGGTCCAATGATAGTCTAATGAGTTTTCCTTTATAGGTTACTGTTTTATTTTCTCTGGCTGCCTTGAGAATTCTTTGTCATTAATTCTTGACAATTTTAATATGTGTCTTAGAGAAGGCCTTTTTGTGTTGAGATAATTAGGCATTCCGTTTGCTTCATGGATTTGAGGATCCAGTTCTTTCCATAGGTTTGGGAAATTCTTCTCAACTATTTGTTTGAATACGCTCTGTTCCCTTTTCTCTCTTTTCTCCTTCTGGTATACCCATTATTGTTTCTTTTTCTGATGGTGTCAGATAGTAAAATCTTTTATTTTTTTTCACTCTCAAGCCTCTCTTCTTCCATCTGAATTGTTTCCAGATTTCTGTCTTCGATATCACTAATTCTTTCCTCCATCTGGTTATCTCTATTTCCTAGGCTTGCTATTTTATTCTTAATCTCTTTTAATGAGTTCTTCATGTGCAGAAGGTCTATTGGCTCTTTTTTGTAGTTTCAGTCTCCTTGGTCATATATTCCTGTTGTTCATTCATTTTTGTATCTAAGTTCATTGAACTGTTGATCAGAACTTTCTTGCATCTCATTTTTTCAGAAGTGCAATCTTGAATTGTCTGTCATTTAAATCTCATATTTCTCTATCTTTAAGCTTATTTTCTGGAGATTCTTCATTTTCTTTCTGAGCTGCCTTGTCACCTTGTTTGTTCATGGTGTTCGATGGACTATTTCTCCGCCTGGGCATTAATGGGAATGTACCCCGATTTTCTTCTTTGAACAGAAAATTTATTATATAGTGATCTCTCTTTAGCAAGTTGATAAGAAGAGGCTTTTCTTTTGATTTACCTTAGGTGGCGCCCAAGTCTCCTAGATCTCTGCGCTGAGGTTAAAAATACCCTTTGTTCTCTGGGGAGGTGTTTGTCTCCCCTGTGCGACGAGATTTCTTCAGTCCCTGGGCTCTACCCCATGAGAGAATGTGAAGTGCAGTGGGAGTCCGGGCCTCTGAAAAGGCCTTGAAGTCCCAGTACTCTGCTCCAACTGCCAGTTGCAATGCTCCACTGCTTCCTTCTGAAGCGGCTGGTGGGTTGTGTTGGGAGAGGCCAGCAGTATGTCTGTGGCTATTTTCTCTCCAGTAATGCTGGCCCTCAAGCTTTGGCTGCCTTGTTTCTATATCTCCACCCATCACTGGGACCAGCTGCAGTGTGTTTCAGTTCTTTTTGCTGCAGCTTCCCCTGGGGCTCAGTGCTAGCTCTGGTAGGGTGGGGGGTGCATTCTAGGATGGTGGAGGGAGGCGGACAGGCTCTGTGACTCTGCTTTCTGTCTGGCAATGGTGGTTGCTAAGACACAGCTGTTGCCCCTCTGCATTTGGTCTCTGCCCTGCTCTGTGCCCTGATCACTGAGCTGTGCCATGTGGAATATGCTGATCACTCAGGCAGGACTATTTGGGCTTCGGAAAGTGAGAACTGCCACCTAACTTCCTCTCCCTGCATTTTGCAGGGACCTCTGAGCTGTGTCTGCAGCATCAGTCTCCAGCATTGTCCCACTCCCCTCCCTTTCCTCCTCCCTTTCTCGCCAGATTTGCCCTCTTTCAGATTCTCTGATGCGCAGATCTCTCAGACATGTCTGTGTACTAGGCTGGGTATTATCTGTTGTCTGTTGGACTGTAGTTGTTCGGTTTATTGTAATTTTAAGGGGAGAGATCGGGGAGATCCTTCACACTGCAATGCTTCTGACCCAATTTCCTCCCTTTTAACCCATCTCTAACTTGGAGTCACCTGGGCCCAGTCCTCGGTCCTCTTCTCGCCTTAAACTCTGTGTTCTCTCTCGAGGTGATTTCATCTGTCTTAGGGCTCTAAATTCCATCTGGCTCCTCCTCTGCTCTTCCAAATCTCAGTAAATGGCACCTCTGCCCATTGAGATGCTGAGGCCAAATACATAGGGGTCATCTTCAATTCCTCTCTTGTCATCACCACAGCTGCCACATCCAATCCATCGGCGAGTACTGCTGGGCCTGTCTCCCAAATACATTCTTCATGTGGCCACTTCTCACTGCTTCATAGCTATAAGCCTAGAAATGGACCTCACGCCCTCTGTCTCTGATCTCTAGCAGTCCTCTCTAAACATGGCACCCAGGCAGGACTCCCAAGCTTCAGTCCTGCCACATGCATCTCCCCTGCTTGAAACTTCCTCATGGCTTCCTACTGTGATCAGGATAAAACCCACATTCCTGCGGGCTCAGTGTGACAGTGCCCTGTCAACCTCTTAATTAAAAAAACTGGTGAATTTTATGGTATGCGATGTATGTCAATAAGCCATTTTTAAAAATCAACAGAAGAATGAAGGTCATATGTAGAATTTAAACCCTTGTCGTCTTTTTTTTTTTTTTTGCCAAAATGTACTCTTTTAAAAAAGAGTTCTCTTGAGATATATTTTATATAGCATACAATTCACCCTTTAAAAACGTTCAGTTCAATGGTTTTTAGTATATTGTGTGCAACCATTACCATCCTTCATAAAATATTCATCATCCAAAAAAGTAACTCCATATCCATTAGCAGTGACTCCCGATCCCCCAGTCCCCAGCCCCAGCCCCAGCCCCTGGCAAACACTAATCTACTTTCCATCTCTATGGAATCCCCTCTTCTGGACATTTCATATAAGTGGAATCATAAAATGTTTGTCCTGTGACTGGCTTATTTTCACTCAGTATGTGTTCAAGCTTCATCCATGTTGTAGCATGTCAGTACTTCCTTCCTTTTTATGGCTGAATAATATTTCACTGAATGGAGAGACCATATTTTATCCAGTCATCAGCGATAGATTTGGGGAGTTCTTTCTACTTTGGGCTATTATGAATAATGCTATGAATACTCATGTACAACATTTTGTACGGACACATTTTCGTTTATCTTGGGTAAAAACATAAGAGTAGGGTCGCTGGGTCAGATGGTAACTCTAGGTTAACCTTTTGAGGAACCCCAGACTGTTTCCTAAAGCAATTGCAACATTTTACATCCTCATCAAAAATGTTCGAGAGTCCTCTTTTCTCCACATCCTTGCAGGCACTCGTTGAACCTGGAGGTGGGGCTTTTTGATTCTAGCCATCCCAGTGGGTGCGAAGTGAGATTTCATTGTGGTTTTGATGTGCATTTCTTGATGACTAATGATGTTGAACATCTTTTCGTGTACTTGGTGGCCATCTGTGTATCTTCTGTGGACAAGTGTTTATTCAGATCCTCTGCCCTGTTTTTAGTTGGGTTATTTGTCTTTTTTATTATGGAGTTGTAAGAGTTCCTTATGTATTTATATGTACAAATCCCTTGTCAGATATGATTTGCATAAGTTTTCTCTCCTTCTGTGCATTGTCATTTTACTGTTTTGATGGTGTCATTCGAAACAAATCTTTAATTTTGATAAAATCCAATTTATCTAGTTTTCTTTCGTTGCGTGCGCTTTGGGTGTCATATCTAAGAAACCATTGTCTAACCCAAGGTCATTTTGATTTGAGCCTGTGTTTTTATCTAAGAATGTTATACTTTTAGCTCTTAAATTTAGGTCTGTGATCCACTTTCAAGTTATTTCATGTGTATAGTGTGCAATAAAGGTCCAATTTCATTCTTTTGCATGTGGTTATCCAGTTATCCCAGCACCAGTTATTGAAAAGACTATCTTTCCCCCATTTTCTTGGCACCCTCGTTGAAAATCAGTTGACTGTAAATGCAAGGCTTTGTTTCTGTGTTTTCTAACCCATTGATCCACATGTCTGTCCATCCTATGCCAGCACCACCTTGATTAGTGTGGCTTTTAAACTGAGAAATGTTTTGAAATTGGGAAGTGTGAGACCTCCAAATTTGTTGTCTTTTTCAAGATCGGTAACGTAAATGGTTATTGCATTTCTAAACAGTGTACTATAAAATTGGGTGGTGGGGAGAAATAATTTAATGATATATTGACTTCTCCGTTTAAGGCTTCTCTAGCCTACAATTCTGGCATGTTTTTCCCAAGATTGCCATGATATTCCAGTGAAAGGAGTCTTATCTATAAATTCTACTCACAGTCCTTAACATTAAGAGTTACAAAAACAAACTGAAAACCAGAATTAACAATATATTTGTTATCGATGAGCCCCATCACCCCGTGATTGTTAGAAAGTTCTCATTCTGCTTTCACACAGACGCAGTCGTCAGTGTCACCTAACTGAGCACTATGTTTATCCATGACAGTAATCCGTGTGTTTTCATGTCATACGGAGCGTGAGGTGATGCACAACAGAGGAATGGAGGTGGTAAAATGTTCCTGAATTTTTTACCGTTTGAACTTACTTCATTCATTATTCAAGTCCTTTTCTTTATGTACTATGAATGCTTGAGGATATGAAGCAAAGTTGAATTTATTTCAGTGTATTCCTTTTTTGTTTTTCAGGATATATATACGAAGACTATATCTCTATGGTCTTATATCAATAGCCAACTCGATGAATTTTCTAATCCCTTCTTTGTGAATTATGAAAACCACGTGTTATATCCTGTTGCTAGTCTGAGTCACTTGGAATTATGGGTAAACTATTATGTGCGATGGAATCCCCGAATGAGGCCCCAGGTATCGTTTGGTTTTTTTGTTTGTTTGTTTGTTTTTCTTTTCTAAAGACTATGTCTTACTTCAAGTAAAGATGGTGTTACACAAATGTGTACATGCCGGGTGTTAGCATATCGTACCAAAGGTCTTCTGCCCTCACCTGCAGCAGATCCCTTCCACACACTGACACGGATGCCGTTTGCTGGGTTAAGAGTTCAAAATCTTAGCTGTTGTCTGTCTTCTGCCACCTGGTCTCGGACTTCTACCTTCCAGATCTGGGAGGCGGTACATAGATGAAGTGCTACTGACCATCACATTTGACTCGGTCTCTCTAGGGAAGGGACCCGGAGGCGATGTGGGGGGAGCGGTATCGATTATGCAGGGTACCGCACGTGGAGTTGGTGGGGGGGCGGGTATTTGAAAACTGCATCGCGGTTCCAGTTTCTGGACTCTGGTGACACAGCAGAAAGAGGGCCTGTGCTGAGTCGCGGAGCAGGCGCCCCTTGCGAAAGGGGTCACATTTCTCCCTCCTGCCACACTTTTTCACGGTAACATTTTCTGAGATTGAAAAAATATGAGAGACGGGTGTGCAGCAGGGCCAGACGGCCGAGCTGTGATCGCTCTGGGTGTTCAGTGGCTGAGCCTTTGCTGTGGCTCGGGCACCGTCAGTTAGGGTGCCTGAGGTGCCCCCCACAAGCCCCTGCTCTACGTGGTCCTGCCCTGCCCCCGTCTCCTCCACAGGAGTGGCCAGGGCATGGTTGGTGCCGGGTGGGGAGCAGACCGATGGAGGCAGCCCTCACCTCAGTGCACAGGTGGCTTTCTGGCAGTCCGGAAGCGGCGTTCCCAGGGCCTTGTTTAACATCATTGCTTCCGTCGGCCACAGACATGGTCCGCCTTTCCTCTCGGCCCTCTTCCTCCTCAGTCTTTCCCTCTTCAGCCCTTCGTCTTCAGTCTCTCCAGACCTATTTCATTTCTGTCTTACTTCACTGCGTGTGCTGTACAAAGTACCACAGACCGGGGAGGCTTGAACAACAGAAATGTATTGTCTCCTCGTTCTGCGGGCTGCAAGTCCCAGATCAGGTGTCAGCAGGGTTGGTTCCGTCTGAGGGCTGTGAGGGGAGGGTCTGGTCCCGGTCCCTCTCCTTGACCTATAGATGGCCACCTCTCCCTGTGTCTCTACACATCGTCTTCCCTTCATGTGTGTCTATCTCTCTGTGCCAAAATTTCTCCTTTTCATAAGGACACCAGTCGTGTTGGATTAGGGCCCACGCTAATGGTTTCACTTCAACTTGATCCCCTCTGTAAAAGCCCCATCTCCAAATACAGTCACATTCTGTGGTGCTGGGGGTTAGGACTACGACATATGAATGGGGGGTACAATTCAACCCCTAGTAATCCCCAAGCCTTACGAACCATGGGGAAAGACTGAACTGTTCATTCCCCTTTTCAGCTGGCCTGGCACTTGAACTTGGGAGGTAACATCACTTCACTAACCTTCCCACCCTGCTGTACGCTCAGCTCCAGGTTCCATCTGATGGTTGCAAAGTGCTGCCCAGGGCGCCTTTCCTCTCCTGACCAGCTCCCTAACACCACGGCCCAACCAGCTCCTCACTC